GAAGTCCTGCTGTAAAGAGATCCTCTGCTGAAACGTGTATACTTTGTTAAAATGTATGAAGCCATTACCCATTTTCAAAAATTGTTTACAGAAAGAGCTGGTCTCCTCTGGGGTGGCTTGCTAAATCTCTTCCAGAACATCTAAAGTTCAGTTTGCCTCCAAGATGTGAAAGCCTTTTTAAACGCTCTCTATGCACGAAACCATCTCCGTGAGGGTTTACCTGTCTGGCTTCAATCATCCTCCCCACCACAGAACAGAGAGCTCTCTGTACCACACACCCACGCTTACTTTTGGGGAAATCTCAGCACAGTTGTCATGATGCATGCTCAATTATCCAGGTAAGTAAATCCCAAAAGGTTGATTCTGTTCATCTGGACGTAGCATTTTCAGTGGTTTCTCCCACTAAAAATGCTACGTCCAGATGAACAGAATCAACCTTTTGGGGTCTCAGCACAGTTGGATGCCTTGGAGAACTCAGGCTGTGTGGCAACTACATAACTCATCCTCATTACAGTGCACATACATGCATTACTCTGATGACATAATTCATTTTTGTTGCCCAGCAAGTCTGCCTTTAATAAAAATGCAGTAGGACCTGCTGCCTGTAGCTTTTACAAATGAGAACACACTCACCACTATTTGATCTTCGCTGGCAGGAGACACGCTGCTGTCATCAAAGTTGTACCACTTTCCATCGTCTTTGTTTTTAGCATAACCAGTATCTGCAAAGAAACAAACACAAGATTAAAAGACAGAAGCAGAAATTACTCAATGATTAATCAACTAGTCATTCAAAAGGAAATTTGTAAGAGTTTATGCACCAAATCGAAGCTTTGATTTGAAGAGTAGAAACGTGGCGATGCCAAAAACTGTGTGGGAGACGTATCGATTTTAGCAAAAAGAGCCCAGATACACAAGTTACTGCTCTGATTACATTTATTTTTCTGTTGGAAATCCTTTAGTCATGAAAATTTCCATTAGTTAGAGCCCCGTTTCACCATGTTTCCCTTTCTGTGTGTCATTTTATATACTCCCACTGCTTGGCTCTTATGTTATAAAGCAATTTGCGACTTCTAACAGCATTACTAACTAATAAAACAGATTCTACAGTTTATAGATTCACAACAAGCCAGATTTAAACTGTCTGGTTACTCAGAGGCCACAAGAACATTCGTCTTTCTACCAGTGACCTTTAATGGGGTTGAAATTAAATCCGGGAACATTATAAATCCTAATTTTAAAAAAAAGATACATGGTTGCATGAGTTTGAGTCTTACAGTGGCCCCCTCCCATCCCACCATAGTGGTTGGACACAGCAATGAGGTCGTAGCGACAGGGCCCGGCATTGGGGTTGATCAGGAATTCAGACATGTCCAGATCTCTGGGAACAAACATGAAACAAGCCGTCATTGCACACGTTCAGCGTGGTGTGTTTGTGATGAAGGTAGAAACATGTAGCATGTACAGTGTTGTAAAAGAGGATCAGACCCTTCATTTCTTCTTACCCTTTTCCCATATTTATCACACCTACGTGTTTCAGACCAACATTAAAATTTGACCGATTTAAATATGCAAAAAAAGCATCTAAAAACAAAACAATGAAAATAATTTGAAGGTTCTTTTGAAAGTTCATAAAATATGACTTATTTAAATTTTCAGATACCAATTTTTCACATCTTGTGTATTATAGCGATCACAATATAATACTCACAAATCAAAGTGTAGCAAAATTTATTCAGAAAAACAACAAATTAAACATTTAAAATATGCGCTTTAATATAACTGAAAGCTGAAGCGTCAAAAGACAGACTCACAATTCACCTGTTTGCCTTACAGCAGAAACACACACAGCTTGTGTCAACACTGATGTCCTTGAGCACACGCCATGTTTGTCCTACCTTTTTGGGAAACAATTATTTGTTGTTGGGTTTTTTCCTCCCTCAATATAAATACTTGACTACAAAACATTGCATAAAAAAAAAAATACAAAATTATGCAGCAACCCCAATCATCTATCACACAACAACAAAGCAGCTTGTCATTAACTCATCAAGGGTATATTGTGAGTGTGCACATACACACACTGTGGATTTTGAAAAGAATGAGCAGGATATACGCTGGATAAACTGCTAAAAAGGTAGTGTATGTGTGTGTAACCCAGAGTAAAATCTGTTTCCTGCACTTATTCCTGCCATTGAATGCATCGCAGGTACATGACTCCAACCACATGACTTTGCTCAGCCAATCGGACGGCATGTGGGTCATAGTAGGCCCGTCCCGGCTTCCTCCTGTCAGATGCGTGGAGGCAAGCCAGGTGACAGAGCTGTTGCAGGTTTGTATTGGCAAACACTTGCTTTTCCCGTTTTAATGCTTCTTTTAACACCCACTAACTTATGCAACTTAGATGCTGATTACTGTGAGCCGGAGCCATAGTGTTGTTGTGCACTGAACAGAACGGAATTGGTGAGTTTGAACTTTTAATTGATTGTTTGTATTGCTACCAGCTGACGGGAAGAATTTGCTTAGTTGTTTTGTGCACCCTCACTGGGTTTTTGATTAATTGAATAGCTGCAGCAGGAGTGATTATTTAAGTTTTCCTTTTCTTTTCTTGTTATTTTTCTTTGGGGTTTGGTTAAATACATGGTACCTGCAAAAGCATTTTGTGTTGTGTGTATTTATTAATTACTGCCCATAAGCTCCAGTAGCATTCCTAAATCTTCTGATTAATAATAACCATAATATTTCACTCAATACGTAGCCTGTATTGATTCATTGGCGCTTCATCAGTGTTACATGTGCATGCCTACCTGAGCGGGAAGTCAACAAGCGAGTCCAGTTTATCCCTCATGTAGCGACTGTATGAGAAGCGTTTAAGATGGACCACCAGCACTGGTGGCAGAGACCACAGGTCCAGCTTCTTTGTGGCCTGCTGGTGCTGCTTACAGTTGGGACAGTACCTGTGAGAAGATGCATCACCTTTTAGGCGCTGTAACCAGCCAGACGTCAACAACTAGTGTTTTGAATTGTTTTCACTGCTTCTCACCAAGGGTCCTCTGCCCCCAGTTTTTCCTTTGTGGTGAACAGTTCGATGCAGTCCTTCAGCTTGAAGAAAGCCTTTTTTTGAGGTTTGTACTCCATGCTCTCGTGCTTGTCACAGTCCTGCTCCCAGAGACACGAGCATATAGTTGTTAGAGTACAACAGTTCTGAATTAGTTGTCTGAAACGACATGAATTAAAATCTGTGGCAAAAGAGAACATTTAACTTTGAAAGAAGCCGTTTAAAAGTACAGTTAGAGATAAGTGTTGTCAAGACCTCAACTGTTATTCTCAACAGTACTGCTTAAGGTACTTCAACTATAATATTATAATAGGTTTTAAGAGAAAAACCAAAAAGAATTAATGTTCATGTAATATAAATTAAACTGTTATAAACACTGTTTCACACCATTATCTAATAATCCTAAAACACATTACAATTACACAGCACAATTACAACAACAAAAACAACAACTTGTAAATCTGTAGACTCTTGGTTGCATCACATATGTGGAGCAACTAGAGATGAACTGCAAGCTAGGCCGTCAAAAGCTGTGCAAACTGTGCAAAGTCCTTTCTACTATCATTACTAGTAGTATAGGTTAACTCCATATAGACAACAAGACTCTTTCTGGCAGTGAAAACAGTTTGGTTTCAGTTTGTAGACAGGAGCATATAAGGAGGGTTTGATTGGATGTAGGTAAACAGCAAGTAAACGCAGAATCAGAGATTGAATGTACCCAAATGCAACCTGAAAAGCAAATAAATAAATAAATAAAATCTGCATTTAAAAACATTAACTAGTGAACAGGAGAGAATGGTTTGGACCAGGTGTTCACCAGTTACACTGTGAGCCCCAAAACACTGGTTTTCCAGATTGATTTTGGAGTAACAAGTAGAAAATAGACCATTTCAATTTCTCCAGTAGCAAGAGCAGAAATGATGGCGCTGGAGCTTGTCCATACCATTACATAATTACTGTTAAATAAATTTAGCCCTGGCACTGTTTAATACAAAGTTATCGTAGCCTACTCAGTTCATTTCCCTCAGATTAAAATGCGTGGAATAAGAGGTAATATTTACAGATTACTTTAACACTTAGATGAGCTTATTCACGGCATCATCTAGTGAGTAGATCTAGAGTTTCAAACCTGCGGGCTCTTGATTAGAAGACATTTGGAATAGTCACCTGGGTTTCCTGCTGCTCTTCACTGTGCAGTTATCACGACATGATTATGTTCCACACTGCTCAGCGTCTTGCTAAAAATGTGATCGAGCTGCACTACAACAGTTACACCGTGAAAACAGACAATGTTGCAGCTCCCGACATTAGTTTTACCTCAACAACAGTCTCGTCAAAATACTTCTTCTTGATTTCTGGCTCCCAGTCCAAGGAGAGATAAGAGCGGTCTGTAAAAAGATGGACAGAATGTAAATGTGCTGTAATATTTACAGCAGTTAAAATGACTTCATTTATTGATTAAACATTTCCTAAAAATCAGTTTTGATTTACAATCATCCTATCAGTCAGTCAGTCAGTCATTGGCAAAAGTAAAAGTAAAAATAGGCATGTTACGACGAGGTGCTGGTGTCCTCTGCTCACATTATCTAAAGCCACAAGCTTCATATCAAAGCAACCACTGGTTTCTACCCCTTAGAAGATTTAGACTGGTTTCTATTGGGGGCAACAGCAGATTTCTATTTGCCATTTCAATGATGCGAAAACAAAAACAGTAAAGCCCGCTTCCTACCACTAAGTCGGAGGTGTCCCTCGTCAAAGCGGATCTGCCTGGTGTCCTCCTTGATGAGTGAGAAGTCAGTTTTTCCCATGTTATTGAACTGGAATGTAAAAAGTCTCTTCCTGCTGTGTCCGGACGTCTGCTGGCCTTTGGTGGAATTCTGTGGGCCGACCACACCGTTCTCAAGCTCATTGTCCCCACCGACAGAGTCCTCCGACTGGCTGTTGTCGTTTTCAGAGGGCAGCTCCTGATCCTGGCTGGACTCGTCGTCCTGCTCATCGGTCTCCATCTCACCTGAAAGACGGCAGTAGAGCTTTTAACAGCAAACACTAAGCAGCACACTTTCTTTTTTTTTTTAAAAAAAAGGCATTTCAAAAGGTCAGAACTTTAGAAGAAAACTGTGTTGGTGCACTTACTCGGTGACCCCTCCTCCAACAGTCCATTAGTGGCATTACCATTAACAGTGTGTTGTTTAGATGGCTGTGTCTCATCACAGTCGTCCTCTTCTTCCTCTACAGAAGATCGCACAAACCGACTGCAAACACAAAACCACTTTTTATTCCAAGCACAAGTTTTTGTTTTTATTTTCTACTTCTAAAT